TTAATGTTTTCATTTTCTAAAAGTATTTTATTTATTTATTTATTTATTTATTTATGAGAGAGAGAGAGAGAGAGAGAGAGTGCATGAGCAGGGAAAGGGGCGGAAGGAGAGGGGAAAAGCAGACTCCCTGAGCAGGGAGCCTGACACAGGGCTCCATTCCAGGACCCTGGGATCATGACCTGAGGTGAAGGCAGACGCTTAACTGACTGAGCCACCCAGGTGCTCCAGTGTTTTCATTTTCTTTAGGTAAATACCCAGTGGTGGAATTACTGGATCAAATGGTATTTCTATTTTTATTCTTTGAAAAACCGCCATACTGTTTTCTACAGCGGCTGCTCCAATTTACATTCCCACCAACAGCGTACAAGTGTTTTTTTTTTTCCACATCCTCACCATTGCTTGTTATTATCTTCCCTTTTTGATACTAGCCATCAATATGAGGAACATTCTTGGTTTTTAAAATAGACTTCATATATATATTTATGGAATTATTTGCTCTCTCTGGCTGTACTTTCCTCTCTAAAAAATATGTTATGTACTGAACCCCTGACTTCTGGTTTTAATGGAAAGATCCTTTAACATGAGATCAACCCAACTCTGAAACTTGGGTGCCACCCCTGGAAAAACCAAGTAACTCAGAAACTTTCCATGTTTCTTCTTTGACTCTTCTTTAATGTGATAGTCTGTCCATAATCATCATGACAGACTCCTAGAAACATTCTTTTAATTTTGGTTTTCTCTTAGGAAGGTAGACAATTAAGTGGACTCATGCAGTTCAACCCATGTTCTTTAAGGGTCTACTGTGTTTACTGTTATTTAAAATATAGTTAGATTCATGAAAAATGTCTACACTAACAGAAAATATATAACGTAATACACTCATTTTTCTGGAGCTCTGTCATAACATTATTATGCCATTTCAATGGTGTTATTTTGCTTTACAGGGGTAAATAATCCTGAAGAAAATTTCAATATGATGAATCTTGTTGGATAATCTAAACTACTATATGATATTTTACTGAATTATCATTTGTATAATTGAATTCACATTTTTAAGTTCTGAAAATTAGAATTTATGTATCTATTAATAATAGGACAAAGTTAAGGAAAATGTTATGTACCCTCAACATCTTGGCTGTCATTCTATAATGCTGACTGCCCTTTCCTCCTTAAAATGTCTTCCCTTGGCTTTTATGACACCACATTTTCTTGATTTTTTCCCTATCTTTACCTTCTCAAACAAACTTTTAGGTAGGCTTATTCTTCTGCACCTGAGAAATATCTAAGTATTTCTCAAAGCCTGGTCAGAACAACTAAATATCTCTGTGAATAAAATAAAAATCTAATTGCAAAAAGTAGAGTTATAATTTTTCTGGCTAAAAATCATTTGTCAGTTGCTTTCTTTAAGTCTAAATTTTAGCTTTCTAAAAGTACTGTGCTGAACTTCAAGTTATCATACAGTAATGACATGCTCTTATATGCTAGCATACTATTGCTTATGTGTGGTTGTTACATAATAAATTCTTAAATTTTTTTTAAGTTATAGTTGTAAGTAATCTTTGCATTAACATTCTTGTATTTCCTCCCTTCAAAGGTGATAAAGTAAGTCTCAGAAATGTAACTAACTGGAGCAAGCCCACAAGTCTAAAAACAGCATCAACATTAGACTAATTCTCATGTTTTTTTATCGGTAACTTGCATTTAGCAAATGAAGTTTGTTAGCATAATACCTCATTAAGAATTTTATCCATTATCTCTATAAAGCAATTTTTATAACACCTTTTAATAATGCCTGTGCTTTTCTTTATCCTTTGTTTTAACATAATTGCTTATCTGGGTTCAGATCAGGTAGGACCTCTAGAGATACAAAGGCAGAATACAAAGGGTTTGTGGGTTTTTAATATAGGAATATAAGATAAATTATCATGGTTTCAATAAGAGGATTGAGAATTGATCATTCCCCCTTTCCTACTGAAAATATTGCTAGTAATGTTTTTCAAATAAGAGTCCATGTGTAATTGGTTTAATAAATAAAACAAACTCAGTAAGATTTTAATGGATATAAAAATAGCATTATTATTTTTCCTACCACTGCCTTCAAAACCTTTTATTTTTTTCTCTTCCCCATGTCTTGGAAACAACTTATTTAGATCCTTTAGCTTTCTGAATACATTTAAGTACTTCAGAAATAATTCCAGTTCTGGCAATGATCAGATAGTTTTTCTGGACTAACCCAACAAGGAATAACAATTATAAATTCTGTAACAAGTTTAAAAACACACAAGTTAAAAGAACTGGAGATAAACCCAAAACAGGAAGAAAGTGAAGGGTATCTGACTCTTGAAAAAATGGTAATTGCAATAGATGAGATCCACTTTTATATGACTTATTTATTGAAGATCCACCTCAGTTCAGATGACAAGAGGTACTAGAGCTCAAACAGAATGTCATAGTCTTATTAGTTTAAAGTGTCGGAAGATGGAGTCTGAGGCAGCCAGGGTGGCCAGAAATTAAAAGGGAAATCACAGAAGGGAGAGAGTCATGGAAGAATGAGCCAAAAAGTTTGTGAATAAGCTTCCCTCAAGTCCTTGGTTGACTCCTAAACTGCACATGCATGAGGATGACTTTTTAAAAAATCAGCAGAAAGCAACAACCAGAAGACTAAAAGAGCTGAACAAAGATTATAATTACTGCTTATGACAGGGAAGATAGAGATAAAATTTTGAGTCCCTCTAAGTCACAAGGGTTTGATGAAAACCACAGTCTTTTCATAGAAACTCCAGAAGGCTATGCTTAAGAACATAAGGATTGCTAAAACCAATTGATTTTCCCTAAAAACTAAAGAAAATAAAAAAGACCTGATTTAACAACATGTAAAACCAAACCTCCACAAGTTCAGGGGAAACCTATAATAACTACCTACTAAGACAAAAATCAGTCCTCTTCAGAGTATGAAGTTTCAGAGACATAATCTCAAGTCTTCATAATGTATCAACCGCAATGGTCAGTATCCAATCAAATCTGACAAAACAGGAACGAGAAGAACTAGAAAAATATGTACCTATGGTTAATAGAAAAAGCAGTCAACATAAATCTATCTGGAGATGGTAAAGATGTTGAAATTGTAGCAGACAAGGACTTTAAAGCAGCTGTTATGAGTATGATGAAAGATTTACAAGAAAAGATGATCATAAAAAAAGACGTGGAATCTCAGAAGAGAAATGGAAATTATTTTTAAAAAAACAAATTCTAGAACTGGAAAATAAGCTACCTAAAATAATAAAAATTTACTACATGAATGTAGCAGAAAATTGGAGATTGCAGAAGAAAGAATCAGTAAACTTGAAAGCAAATCAAGATAAATGATTTTATGTAAAAGTCACAGAGTAAAAATATTTTAAGAAATTAAATAACACCTCAGTAGAGACAATATTAAGAGGTTTAACTTGAATATTCTCTGAGTCTTAAAGACAGAGGAGAAAGGGAAAAGAGTAGAAAAAAATAACTATAGAAAGAATTGTCAATATTTACTAGATTTTATGAAACATCCTGGAAGCTCAGTGAATCCCTAGGAGTATAAATGCAAGGAAAACCACACGTAGGCAGATCATAGTTACACATCAAAACATCAAAAATTTAAAAAAAATGTAAAAAAGGCCACCCCACACTAAAAAAAGGAACAAAAGTACAAATGATGTCTAACTTCTCATCAGAAGCAATATTTGGCAAAAGACTATAGAAAGACATCTATAAAACGATTAACATTAAGAAAAACTGTCAACTCAGAGTTTCATACATACTAAGAATATCATTCAAAACTGAGGACAATAAAGATGTTTTAAGGTAAAAAAAATAAAAAGGTGAAAGGCACTTATAGGACTATACTTCAAGACATTCCAAAGAAGTTCTTCTGAAGTAAATGATGGCAGATAAGAGCTCAGATATGTAGAAATAAGTGAAAAACCTTAGAAATAATGGATAAATGGTTAAATACCAGAAACTTTTTTCTCTATATATCTATAAAAGAGAACTGAAAGTTTAAATTAAAAAACTATTATATTTTACTGTGGAGTTCTGAAATAATAATTATGACCACAATAGCATAAAGGATAGGGTGGTATAAATGAAATTATATTGTTACAAATTTATGCCTTTTTAAAAATGTGAAGTGGTATGATACTAAACTAGATAGAATGTTATAAATTAAGAATATATATTATAATCTCTATACTAACCACACAAACAGCAATACAAAGAGATACAGTAAAAAGTCAAAAGAAGAAATAAAGTCAAGTATTAAAAATATTCAATTAACCGAAAGAAAGGCAAAAAAAGAAAGAACAGAGAGAAAAATGGGACATATATAAATTAAATAGTGAATTATAAACCTGAACCCAACTATCCAAAAATTTATCAGGAAGACATAATAATTATAAAGGTGTGGGCACCTAATAACAGAGATTCAAAAAAAAAAATGAAGCAAAAACTGACAGAAATAGAGATAAACAAATAAAGAAGTTTAAGCACCTCTTTGAAAAATTAAACAAGGAGAAATATATCAGTAAGGATAGATCTACCTTACTTAGATCCTGAAACTAAATGATTAGTCCCTAATTGTTTTATTTTTTTGCAAATAACATTGCATTTTCTTTTAAAGAAAACAATGATACAAATTGTGTTTGTAAATTACATTGTGACTTCATTGTGTATCATATACCGACAAAATGGGGTGTAAATTTGGCAAAAGTAAGGACTTTTTTATAGACACTTTTCTATTATAAGATATATTTTAAAATTCATCTTTATTTTTCTCATCAGTTTTTCTCTACACAAAATTCATAAAATAGTACTGGCTGCAACTTTTGCTGACTTTGGCATTCAACATCACCACCTAATGCTCTGCCTTGCACTTATTTTATATGAAATTAGCTTCCAGGAGTTATGGTTCAATCATTGGAGAGGTGATAGGTAGATAGGTAGATAGATAAATAAATCCTTACCTTAAAGACTAGTTCTCCTACCAAGCCATTCCATGTCCCATCTTCTTGTGGGCTTCCATACTTGTGATCCGGTGCAACATAAATTTCATAGTTAAAACCCAGGTAGTTAGATAAGGCATCCAAAACATCAATGGAGAAGCCTTGGTACTTCTTCGGCTTACCCAAGACATTTTCAGAGACCATTACAAAAGGTTCTTCCTACATGGAAATAAGAGAAATCCTTGATGTCAATCTATAGTGCTCCCCAAAAGCAAAAATTAATTCTTCAAAGAGTTTTGCTAAGACACAGCCTAAAAATTGCTTTTGAACTTTGAGAGAATTAACTTACAAATATAACATATGTGTTATTAATGTGTGATGGTATTGAACAATGTTTAATCATTGCATTTCTTTTCATCTCTCATTTAATTACTACTATATCAAGTATTAGATGAAAGTGACTATAAAACTTCAGGGGCCATGAATTCATTTTTCTTGTCACTATAGGACTAAACTACCATTCATCAATAATAAAATTATATTTAAGAAACCATAAATTTATTGTATCCTGAGGCATTTATTATCTATGTATGTCAAAAATATGTAAAATAATATTTTTTCCATGTGCCAAATAATTTACTTTTTATTTTCTTATTGAAGTATAATTGACATATAACATTATATTGAGTTTTAGGTGTACAACATAATGATTTGATATTTGCATATATTGTAAAATGATCACAGTAAGTCTAGTTAACATCCATCACCATGCATAGTTACAGATATTTTTTTCTTCTGATGAGAACTTTCAAGATTTACTCTCAGAAACTCCAAAAACATACAATAGAGTATTACTAACTATAGTTACCACATGTACATTACATCCCCATGACTTGTTTTTGTAACTGGAAGCTTGTACCTTTGACCATCTTTTTTTTTTATTAACATATAATATATTATTTGTTTCAGGGGTACAGGTCTGTGCTTCATCAGTCTTACACAATTAACAGCGCTCACCATAGCACATACCCTCCCCAGTGTCCATCACCCAGCCACCCCATCCCTCCCACCCCCCCTCCATTCCACCAACCCTCAGTTTGTTTCCTGAGATTAAGAGTCTCTTTTGGTTTGTCTCCCTCTCTGGTTTCATCTTGCTTCATTTTTCTCTCCCTTTTCCTATGATCCTAGGTCTTGTTTCTCAAATTCCTCATATCAGTGAGATCATATGATACTCGTCTTTCTCTGACTTATTTCGCTTAGCATAATACCCTCTAGTTCCATCCACGTCACAGATAAACTCTGCATAAACTCACTGAAAAGAACAAAAAGTTCTAAGAAACATAATTTAACTAAAATTTATAACATAACATTTACTGGGAGTTATTTGATAAGTAATTTTGAAATGTGGATATAACCACACATTTCATTGCAAAAATAGCTTCTCTACGATTGCTATGAGAAATTCACTTAAGTTTTTGGTAAACTGTGTAATTTAGTAAATTTAGCAAATTGGTGTCTGCTTCCACCTCTTTTATCATTTTGTGTTTTTGTCCTCTTACAGTTAACAAATAGGCTCCTTTCACTTTTTAGAACACCTGGTGTTAAGAAAGCTCAATTGGTTTGAAACATGCTGGCAGACTATAGAAAATTAGATAATCTATTCCTTAATTTCCTAAATTTGTTCAGAAACCTCTCAGAACAGTAATATTTACAGATAACCGTTCATATATATATGTCTATCTAGCCCTCTGGGCAGTTTAAAATCTATTCTGGATTTAAGCCAGAAAACCCAAAGATTTTATCCTTGGATCATTTTTCCTTAGAGACTCACAGGTGAACCTTCACTGAGATGTAAAATAATACTATACTTTGGCTTTTAGTCAAAGACCCAAAGTGTCTTATAAAATCACTGCATCTACTATAGCAATATTGTCCACCATAACATTCAGTTTTCCCCTAAAATATTACCATGAGATAAATTTTTGTATTGTTCAAGCCAAGAGCACTTCATTTTGCTTCAGTAATGCCCTCTTCTAAATAATTAAAATAAGATAACTAATTATTTTGGTATCCCTTTCCACTTTGGACACCCAGAAAATCAGTTCTAAGTTTGATGCTCATCTACAACTATGTTGATATTATGGTATTTGTAGTATTTTTTTTTAAATTTTGGTTTTCTAAACTAGTGATGCTTTCTCTTTTTAAAAATTTGGTCTTGGTCAACCGTTTATATCTTGCCTTAGAGTAAAATAAATCAGTAAATAAATAAAGGAGTGACTGCTATTTGTTCCCCAGTAGCTGCTCTCTTCCTCATTAATTATATATATGTATATGCATATGTGTATGCATATGTATATCTCTATCATCTATCTATCTATCTATATTTTTATATTAGCACCTGAGAATAAAGACAATCCACAGTCTCCTTTTAGGCAAGGTGAGACCATGTGACTAATTCTGACCAATGCAATGTAAGCAGGTACTTTGTGCAACTGTTTTTTCATCTTTCCTCCTTCTTTCCAGCTGGAATGAACACATAATGGCTGGGGCTCTGGTAACTGTTTTAAAGCACACAGAGTAGAGAAACAAGATGGAAGAAGCCTATGCCCTTCAGATGTGAAATGCCATACCAGACCATAACTTTCTAGGATTCTAGAACATAAGAAAAAAAGAAATTTTGATCTTTTTTTGTTGTCAAGCTCCTGATTGTTTTTCCATTACAGTAGTATATGATGCTAATGAACACTGATAGATAGATCAATAGAAGAGAGGTTTTGAAAATGAATAAAAATTTCAAGTAATACTGATCTGTTTAATCTAAATGATATCAAATGAGAGAAAAGTGAAAACTCAATCAATCCTTTAATATTATGTGTAAAATACAGAACATCTTGATGATTCTAAATATTTATATATTTTAAAATGTATAATAATCTCTCAGATAATTGGCAGAATTTGTTACTGAACATTCAGTTGTATGGACAAAATATAGATCTAGCCAATTACTATGCAATGTATACTTTGAAGTAGGCCATGAGGTCATTAGAATCAGAATGAATTAAATAAATTCCAAAAAGAAGATCATATTCAGAAGCATGCAAATAATATTAGGAAATTCTGGAATTTTAGAGTTAGAATTAGTCTATATTTTAAACATCTATTTATTGACAAACCAAAGTAAGGAGGAATCATGAAAGACTTATTTGACTGATTCCTTTACCAGTAATTTTGGATCGTATGTATTCTCTATTTATCCAGGGTCTTCAAAATCTAATAGACCTCTGAAGTTAAACACAATTTAATAAACAGAAAGCTGAATACCACTCTTCAGGATGACACTTAAACAATTAAGAATACTAATTAAATGTATTACAAAACTAAATGATCTGTGTGGCAAAAATATTACCCCAATGTATGCTTTGATATGAAATACTGTTTTTTTTCATTTTTACTCCTATCTCATTAGAACAGTTGTTTAATATGCTAAATTATATTTCCTTAATATGCTAAATTTTCCTCTCAAAATTACTTTCAATTCCAATATTGTAAGTAAATACCTCAGCAAATGGATCCTTCAAAGGTTTGTTGACAAAATCTGGTCCTAGAAAAATCAGCTAGAATTGATTAAAGGTATAGAGTAAAAATGGTTATCCTAAGGGTTCTTTTACAGAGGATTGATGAATTATTAATGAACATGCTTGTTAAATTTTATGACTGAAATAAACCTTTATTACATCTTATCACTTCTCTTCTGAATAGATGTTTTTAGGCTTTGTTTTTAAGCTCTTTAACAGATTTGGATCACTATTTGTAAATCCTAACATAGACCAGTTGTGCTTTATGAGGACAATCAGCCAATATATTGGACAGGTAAACATAGCAATAGAAATCAGATTGAAGGTCTAGGACCTATAGTAGAAAAGATACTTTCCCTTCTTTATGGCAATACTGAATTTGGTATCTATGTACCTATTTCCAAAATTTATTCATTCATTGACTTACCTATTTAACATGAATTGAGCAGCTACAGGATCAAGTTACTATACTCAATATAGGGAGTGTAGTACCCAGTATACTCAATATTGTAGAAAGTCATGGCCACCACTTTCAAAATAATCATAGTCTGGAAAAAGCCATATACTCAAAAAATACAACATAAAACAAAAGCAACACACATCGTAACTATTACACACAAAACACCAGAGAAACACAATGGAAATTATAAAAAAAAAAAGAAAACCATCATTTTGGGAATTACTGGCTATGTACCATTTTAACAGATAAGAAAAATTAGGAACAAAAGTCTCAATTCAAGATCACACAGTAAGTTATAGAACAGAAAGTCATCATGTATCATTTTACTTCAACTTCATTTCTTTGGACCTCAAATTTTTCAACCCTTGGATCAAAATCTAGGTCTCCATAGTTTGTCTCGAATTTTAATGCTATTTAAAGTGGTAGGAGACTAGAAGAGACTCCAGATGCCTGACAGAAAAAAAATAAATCCACAATACTCTCTGGAGAAAGTATCTGCATTTTAGGTCTTAACATTATTCCTTTAAGTAATTGTTTGAATACAATGTTCAAAACAAAAGTCAAAGATATCATGTAAAATGAAATTCTATTTCATATATACAAATGGCAGAAATAATATACAACAGGAATGGATCTTTCAAGGACTCTGATACTGAAATTTTCAGATGCATTTTATAAAAATTATGTTACTATGCTAAAAGACATCTGGGACAAATTGACAAGAAATGAGAAACCACATGAAGTGTCATTACACAATTCGAAAAGAACTAAACAGAAATTTAAGAATTAGTAAAAAGAATGTCCGAAGTTAAGAATTTAATGACTGTATTAAGCAGAAGATTAGAAACAGATGAAGAGAGAATTAGTGACCTGTAAGAGTTCAGAATTAATACCCATAGTGCAAAGGAATAAACAACTAGAAAATCCCAAATCAAGAGTAAAGAGATGAGAAGCAGAAAGAGAGGTAGTCTGATAATCCCCAATATTGCTAAGGATATGAAGAAACAGGAGTAAGTCATTCACTATTGCTGGGTGTTTAAATTGGTTCAACACTTTAGAACACATCTTGACATATCTAGCAGAGAATGGAGATATTTATAGGCAAATTAGTTTTGCCTGTTTTTGAGTGTTACATAATTATTTATCTAGCATGAAGATATGTACAGAAATGTTCCAATCATTTC